TGTCGTTGTTTTTGTTGTAGTTGTTGTTGTTGTTGTTGTTGTCGTTGTTATCGTTGTTGTTGTTTTTGTTGTTTTTGTTGTTGCTATTGTTGCTGATGTTTTTGTTGTTGCTGTTGCTATTGTTGCTGATATTGGTGTTGTTTTTGTTGTTACTGTTGTTGATATTGGTGTTGTTGTTGTCTTCATTGCTCCTGTTGATGTTGTTGTTGCTGCAGCTGCTGGTGTTGCTGCTGCTGTTGTTGTTGTTGTTGTTGTTGTTGATCTTGATGATTATGATGTTGTTGTTTGTTGTTGTTGCTGCTGCTGCTGTTGCTGATGTCGTATATTTAGTACATGGCTGGTGCCCATGTATGTTCATGCCCTTTCCCCCTTCCCGCGCCACGTTATGACTGAAGTCTTGAGGCAAGCAGTACTTGTACACAACACACATCACAAAAACAAACACAGATCAGTGGAAACAGAAAGCAGAATGTTAGAACAATATTTTTGGTTTTATTTCGATTTTGTTGAGTTTTTTGGGGAGGTTTTCTCGACAGTATTCATAAATATAAATATCATTATGCGTCCAGTTTGTAGGTCGGTTCCGGAACAATCATTGATTAAAACCGTCGAACCAATCATCGATTGAAATCGTCGAACAATCATATATTGAAACCGTTGAACAATCATCGATTGGAACCGTTGAACAATCATCGCTTGAAACCGTTGAACAATCATTGACTGAAACCGTCGAACAATCATTGACTGTCATCATCACATCATCCTCATTTCCTCCTCACCCGCTCACCAGTGCCCATGAGGGAAATCCACTGTGACTATAGACTTGATAATATAATATCCCTGACCGGGTACTGTCATGGCCGCTTCTGTAAAAACTTCGCTGTGCTGTTGTGCAATATTACTATGAGCACCGAAATGAAGAGCTAAATAAAAGTCTTGCTTTGGTCGAATGAGTGCATAAGCTTTCCCTCCTTGCCTTCATTTGGTTCCATATTGATTTCCAAATTAGAGTCAAATGCTGCAATTCACGGTGAACCGGAATTACGTAAGAATGCACAGTCTAGGTAAGACATTGGAGAACAGGTCTATGGCACCCACACACAGGCACATTGTAATTACGTCAGAGTGCGCAGTCTAGGTAGGATACTCCAGTACAAGTCTATGGCACCCACACACAGACACACTGTAATTACGTCAGAGAGCACGGTCAAGGTGGGACACTACAGTACACGTCTATGGCACCCACACACAGACAGACATACTGTAATTACATCTGAGAGCACGATCTAGGCGGGACATTACAGCACAAGTCTATGACATCCACACACAGACACACCGTAACTACGTCATAGTGCACGGTCTAGGTAGGACATTACAGTAGAAGTCCGTGGTAGCCACACATAGACGTACCTGCGGGGTGCATGGGCGGCTCCATGTTAAGGGGTGGCGTGCCCTGGGAGGGGGGTAGGAAGGGTAGGCCGGGTGGGGGTCCGTCCTGGGGCTGACCCATGAAGAACTCGCCGTATCCTTGGTACCCGGGGTAGAAGTCGGCTCCGTTATCTGGAACAACAGAGAGACATGAGTGAATAAAGGGAGGAACATGTAGGTGAACTATATAAAGAGCAAATACATGAATGGATGAGTAGAAAAACAAATAGGTGAATAAATGACTAGACTAACCAATAAACACATAAGTGAATACATTGATAAACAAGAAGATAAAGGAATAATTGGTTAAATGAAAAGATAAGTAAATATACGCGCAAGTAAATGAATATACAGACAAGTAGACAACACATAAATGAATAAATGAAAAGACTTGAAGATAAATTACAAAAAGGATTATGAACAGATAAGTAAATAAAAGCAAAAATGAATAATTGAACAAATAGTGAAAGGTAATAGCTTTTTTAAATAAGTATGAAAAGAAAGAAAGAAAGAAAGAAAAAAAATTGTTTGTTTTAGTAGAGGTTTTACGGCGCTCGCAACAGCATAAGGTCATAGGATCGCCAAAAGAAAGAAAGAAAAAAAAAGAAAAAAGTGTTTTACAGCACTTGCAACACAATTAGGTAATGTTATAGGTTCCAAAGATAAGAGGTGTTACAACAGAGTAACAAACACAATAAAAGAAGAAGGAAGGAAAAAAAGAAAGAATATTTTGACGAAGAATGTGTAAAACTTCGCTTTGCACTTTTCCCAAACAACTGCAACATCACACGTAACAGCTTAAAAAATCCCTCTTGTAATCCTCTGCCTCCCTCTGACTTTTGACACATGTATTATATTCTTTAGAGTATTTTTAGGAGGGGGGGGGGCAGAAAGAGAGGAGAAGGGGAGGGAGA